CCTCCCCTTTACACACACTGAATTTGACGATAATTTGGATAAATGCCGGAACCCGAGTAGGTTTGATGATAAAAAGACCAAACCAAATTTTCAAAGCAATCATCCTTCTTTTTTGCTTGCCTGATCATCTCTTTCGTATCCGAAAGAATGATCAATTACATAGATGGTACGAAACTTTGCAGTGATCTTTTATGCCGTTTGGAATTCCAGCTGTACTGTCAAGTTTGAGTCGTCAGTCGATAATCTAACGATCAACCAATTTCACATTCATTAGCATATTCATTCGCTTTTGCAATTTAGGAGTAAAATGTCGTGATTCCACAAGAGTGGTGCTTTACTATCCCATTGGTACAAAGGAAACCTTTATTCATGCAAATTACGTTTCTGGTGGTCCTCTCTTTAACAAATTCATCGTTACTCAAGCCCCCATGGGCAACACTGTTGGTGAGAGCCGAAACAGAACAGTGTGCTACTCTAGGGTATCTTACCATGCAGTTTGCTTTAGATGATTTTTGGCGAATGGTTTGGCAAGAAAAAGCTCCATATATTTTCATGCTGATTGGCCGAAAGGACAAAGAGCGTTGTGCAGAGTACTGGCCGCGGTATGGTGGTACTGCGCCACAGTCACACATATATTTCTGAATTATTGTCTCTGCAGGCGACAAGAAACAGAAACGCTGAACGTATGTGGGCTGCATATTTCCAATGTTGGAGTGTCGTCAACGCGTGATCCAGTATTTCGTGTCACATACATACGTATAGTTAATGACTCTGGCGAGGAGGTTAGTCTTAAATGAATGTTGTCCTCTTCATTGCACGACAAGAAACGAATCCGATGCCTCTTAACGAAATCATAAACCAGAATTCTTCGAACAATGTTATTGAGCATTGATGGCCATTCTGGAAGTTCCCTGATTGACTCATGTTTTGTTTCATAGCTTCACTGCTTCACGACTCAATAATGAACCGAGGCCTGATGTGTTAGAGTATTGCTTGAAGAACTGATAAAACTTCTCAAACACAATTTGAAATAAACAAGATTGCACATCAGTTTGTAGCATCGTGTGGAGCATTGGCAGGCTGATATGAACAACTCGAGCAATCTGGACTCCCCGCTTGCCTTACTTCGCCTGGCAAGGAATTGCGTTCGTCCTGTGATCGTACATGACTGTCTCGGTCAGCAACTATTTTGACTAAAACTCATTCATCATAATCATCTCAACATAGTTTAGGAATTTCTCGTGCTGCTTGCGTAGTAGCTACTGAAATAGCCATCTGTAATATCATCAAAGGCCCTACTTATAAGGTTTTTAAGGATATAAAATCTTTGGATAGGATTCTTGACTTTTTTTGTCAATTAATAACATTGCTTTTTCAAGCACCCTATCCAAAAAGCTGTCCATTTTCTACGTCGTCAACGACCATTCTCTGTGGAGACACCTATGCAGTACATCTTCATTCATCGATGTGTACAAAAGTTTTTTAATAAAATATCAGGCCCTGTACGTGGCCTAGCGGAAGACTATCAAAAGTAGCCTCTCTAAAAATTCTTTTTCCATTTGTCGGCTTGTGTAATGGATATATCTAGGTGGCTGACGGAGAGAGCA